TGTTCAGAAGTTTCATCCACTTAGCTATTGCTTGGCCCCACATAAATAGACATCTGTAAGTTTTACTTCACCATGATGATAATCAGGCATATATCATTGTATGAAGTATGGAATAATCTCCAAATTCAAGTGGATTTTAATGACATACCCATCTTAAATTTATGATGTTAATTACCATCTGTTCATATAGTTTTCTGATCATCTTCATAGTACAGAATTTGAAGCTAATGATTCCATTATTGCATCAGCAAAATAGTGGTTGAGAAATGCAGTTTTACTAGACAGAATGAGATATACAAAAACTTGTTCTGAAGTGACAACTAGCATTTGAGACTGATTATGATTATTTTATAAATAAAATTTGTTTAAATAAATATTTACATAATGTTTGCTTTGTAATAAGAGTATAGAATTTTTTTTAAAAATTGCAAAACATTACTGTTGGACTGACCCTCATATATATTGTATTTGATTATATAAAAATTTTAGACCTGCCAACTTTTTAAATTTAATTGATGACTTTTTTAAATCTCTTTCTCTACTTTTATTATTATTATTTTGTTTTTTCTCTTATCATATAAGTTTGTTGCATTGAGTATGATAATACTCAATGAAACAAACTTATACTTTTGCATGAGTATGATAATGTGAAATAAATATGCATTTCTCTCAAAAAACTCTTGTCGAATAACATGTTACAAGAAGTAATATTTTATTTCCATGTATTGAAAAAAGTTATACATTAGTATTAAAACACACACTAATAATTTTCATTATTTAGAATATTTTTCCCAAAAGAATTCTATTCCAGTTCAGATAAATATTTGGACATGTCATTTTATAATTTTATATTTTATTAGTACAGTATTCAATTTATATTTTCTTATATCTATAAATATGTTATAATTGATGCTGCTAGCTCATTTCTCATTTGTTTGGATTTTTTTTCTTACATAGAAGGTATAAAATATTTTCATATGTTAGGAATATTTGGTAATATTAAACATTCCATAAGTTTTAAAGTTATAGTATTTGTATTTTTTTTGTATCAGTATATAAATTATATATACTTATTCAATTTATAGCTTATAGTTTTGCTATATTTTTATAATGCTTGAATCAGGACATTGTAAAGTTTAGAAGTTAGAAATTTCTATTAGGAGTATTAAATACTTTGCTTGGATGTCACTCCAACAGTTAATTCAATCAAAAACTTTAAAGTATGAGGTGTTAAGTAGAATTAAAAGAAATATTTTAATTTAAACTATGCACCAATTATATAGGAGCAATTATATCAGGACTATGCACCAATTATATAGGAGCGATTACCAGAATGCTGGCTGCTCGTGTATCTGAACACCAACGTTTGATGGCACTTGGCAGTTGCAACACTGAACCTTCCAAATTGGTGATACAGCAACACCACATAGCACTTTGGAATCAAGTGGCAATATTTAAACGCTGCGATGAAGGGAGCTTGATATATATTTGGGAGGCCCTCCTCGCAAAACTGCTCTCCCGGTGCAACTCCCCTACCCTCGACTTACCGGACGTCTGGATTAATTTATACAGGCGTTTAAAAAATTAACAATAATTCTACATTCATTTCCTGCACCTCCTATGAGATTCAAGGTGCATACGTGTCGGCCTCTATGTGTGTCTTTTTATATGTTACATGTGTTTTATGTATTGTAAGTTTTGTCCCATGCTTTTATATTTAAATTTTAATATAAACTTGCACTTATGGTTCTATTCTAATCGGTTTCTGTGCTGTCTATATTAAGGCGCATGTGTGCCAAAATTTTACACGTGTTTACAAAATGTTTTTATTGTAAAGTCTAAAATTTACAAGTTCTTAATAGTCATTCTAATTGGCTATTATGTTATGCATGTTAAGGTGCACGTGCGCCAATTTTTCGCATTTTAATAATTTCAATGATCTTAATTAATAGCCACTCCAATTGGTGTTAATTTGTTTTAAAACGCATGTGCACCAATTTCAAATGTTTTTAATTTTTAATTCTAAAATTTAAAACTTATTTGTAATAGCTATATTCCAAAAATGGTTAATATCATTAATGCTTAAATTTAAATGTTCTATTCGGATTCTCTATTTGGTTTAAATTGCCTGAAGACAACATAGATAGAAATTTCTAAACTATACAATGTCCATTCCATTATTACTAATTACAATTAATTATTTTATGAAAAGTAAGATCATTATTTTAAAATATGCACTATTAGCACCATTAAAGCCTAAAAATTAATAAATCTTATCTACACTATATATTGATGTATATGTTATGGACAAAGTGATTAATATGGGCATTATGAATAATGTTCAGTCATTATGAATAATTTGATAAAGAAATCAATATTTATCACACTGCGTGCCCTATTTGGTCATTATTCATAATGACCAAAGAGATTAATCTCTTTGTCCATAACATATACATCATTCATATATATAAAATTCCAATTAATATATACAGTATATATAAACATTAATTAGAATTTTTTATTATAAAAAAAGAATAAATTACTGGCAAGTTATTTGGCAATTAAATGCATATACTAAACTGAAATATTGTTGACTCCTATAGTCAGGCTATCTTTATCAAACAAACTTCAAATTGATTGAAATGCATATAAAATTGAATAGTATATATTTTATTTTTAAACAGTACAGTTGTAATGAGAAGATGATAGATATAAACTCCCACGTAACCCACGGGAGTTATGTTCCAAAAAATTGCCATGTTATGCGAATCCGTGTTATACAAACAAAGAACTAGTATGAAAAGGGTGGTTAGATTTCAAAAATTAAAAAACATGCTATTATATTTTCATAATTAAGATAAATATCTTTATTAAAATTTTCTTAAGTGATACATAATATAAATTAAACAATGTTTTCTTCGTCATCACTAAGCACTATTAACTGAGGGCGTTTTCTATTTGGCAAGATATCCTTATCCTCTGAGCATTTTTCTGCATTATCTTCAGATCCATGCTCTACCTTATTTGCAGAAAATATGCTATTTTAGATTGCTTGCTTTTAGTTAAAAGATCTTTATAAAATTTCTTATATAGTGCTAAGAACTTATTAAGAATAAAGCAAATATGGAATAAGGGAAAAACGTCTGGCAACACCAAAATCAGAAGTGTTGAGATCTGGCAACACTGAAACAAGTTTTGAGAAGGACCATATGTATCGACAGAAGGTGGGAAAAGAAAATTTACATACTAAAATACTAATAGTTCATGAAAATAATAATTTTCATGAACTATTAGTACTTAAGTATGTGAAAATTTATTACATTTCATGTTGTATGAGGGTTTTATCCAATTATCAAACTGTGTTAGAGTGAATCCGCACTATAGAAGTGCCGTGTTATATGGGGGTTACCTGTACAATCATCAATTATGTTTAACTTAATATATATTTAAAGTTAATTCAAAGTTTATCTTTAAAGCTTGCATGTGCATATTTGTATGAATAGAAGTTGATATATTTAGTCTTTGTGAGAGAAAACTACAGTGAAACATCAATCTGTCAATCATTTTCCCATATCTATCAGTTTTTCCTCCCAGTCCCAAATAAGGATCCATATACATAATGTAAATTTTTCCAACACTGTTCATTCTGTATTTTAACTAAAAGAAAAATATTATCCCACATCAATTGTTCTACCCACAGTAGAGGACACTAAATTAAAGCGCATTATATTTAAAAATTAAACCCTAATGTTCATGTATGAAACTAAACCAATTCCTCAAATAGCCCCTCTTAATATACTGTATTTATCTTATAGAATAATAAAATACAGTAATGTATTATAATACTTTATATTGTTATCATACCAAAAGACAGACAGATTATTGTCTTTTCCTGTGTAAGTCTTGCAATTATTTATACAGCAATTAAATGTATTTTATTTTATTGTACATATTGGATGCAATTTTTACTAAAACCACTTTAAGCTGCTTTGTTAAAAGACAGTTAAGCTATTTCTGCTTTAAGTTAGCCACTGCACTAGTGCAGCAAGGTTCAAAGAGCTGAAAACAAAAATTAATATGGCTATCATCATAAATTATATGCATATTACGTACTTAAAATGAAGATTGTAACATAAAAAATGTATATTGAACTGGCTACTGAAAAAATTACAAATGTACTTTTCCACATAATCTTTTATTTCAACATAGGCATCTTCAGATTTATTAGTAATGGTGAATGCACACATTATATTCTTGTTTTTTATACAATATAAAATTGTTCTGATTGGCTGCCTCCTATATATGAATAATTTAGGTATTCTTACCAAAAGAAAATAAAACAAATTACAATATTCTTAACGATTTTTTTTAAAATGTAGAATAAATGCACATCTGTGCACAAGTGCAATATCATTTAGTATTACAGAAAGTCATCATACAGACATCACTGAAAAATACACATTTCATATGAGATAAACAATAAAAACATCAATGTCATAAATTTTCCACGTCAGTCATTTTCCCACATCAGTTGTTTTTCACCCAAGTCCTGCCAGAAACACTAGATCAAGGTTTCACTGTATTTAAGATATATCTCAAAGTCAAGAAAGTCTCAAATTTTACAAAAAAATAACAGATTTATGCATAGTAGTAACAACAATTTGAAAAACTATTAATTTTATTGATCCTTGATATACATTACAAGTAATAAAATTAAGGTCAAATATATATTTTCAAGTAAACTCGTAATATTAGAGATTGTAATAATGTCTTTTTTTATTCCTTTATTTTTACCATAAAATTATTCATTTTCAGTTTTTCTTATTTCAAAGTTGACAGGTTTAAGATTCTCTGTATCCAAAATGCATTATTTAGTATTAAAGATTTAAGTATTTCAAAAAATAAACTTTAAATACTCATATAAATTTTATTAAAATTTTTAAAAATGTTAACTAATTTAAAAAGTACTGTCATAATTATTATTATTATTTTTTTAATAGAAGAACAGAGAGCTAGTGATACTGATATTTCATCACAGGATGAGGCTTCACCTTATAAAGAACGAGTCCAAAAGCAGTACAATACAAATATAACAAGTGAAAATGAAAATATAAGTCAACCGAAACAAAATTTTAGTTTTGAAGATAATGAAATAGAAACAAGCAAAATAGAAAAATGCAATTATAGTAATGAAGAAAAAGAAGTGGATATGCATCACAAGAGTGAAGATAAAAAAGGTATTCATTACCAAAGTGATGAAGAAAGTTCAGAAGTAGAAAGTAAAAATAAAGAAGAAATAAACGATCATCAGAAAGATGCAAAATTGGATTCATTTGTAGATGAAATTCAGATTAAAACAGATGTATGTGAGAAAAAAGAAAATTTAGAAATTCAACATACAATGGAAGTTAATGCAGAAATAAGGTCACCTGAAAACAAAACTTTAAGTATCAGTAAAAATTCAGATGATGAGCAAATCAATATTCCTAGTAAAATTCAAGAAATGGAAAAGACAGAAGATCCTATTAATGATATATCTGATAAAAATGATAAAATAATTTCTGATGAAAAGATTGTAGTTACACAAACTTTAGATGATGATGATAAAGTTACATATAATATATTATCTGAGAATGCCACTGTAAATATTGTACAAAAACAAGAAGTTCTAAATGATGAAAATATTTCTCAAGATATAGAGATGAAAGAAACAGAAGAAGAATTGGATAAAGAAAATTGTGTTTCTGAAAAGGAAAAGGTAAGTTGGAAATTTATAAAAATATGCCACAATATTTATAATAAAAAATATACTCAGATTAAAACATTATAAAGCTATTTAATTTAATGTAACTTCGTACAATAAATTTATCTTTTTAATAAGGAAGTAACTTATGTGAAAATGCTGAAGTTATTGAGTGTATCTGTGTGTTGTTTTCATTATAATGAGCTAAAAACTGAACTTGTATAACTTGTGAATTATCAAATATTATTTTAAAAAAGCAGGAAAATAACAGTAATAAAATATTGTATAACTGCTTATCATTAAAAAAAAATATATATATATATATATATATATATATATACAGAGATTACTGCTATTGCTGGGAAGGAAATTGTTTCCTTATTATTAACTTTGAGTTATATTTTGACATGATTCCCGTTGTCAGTTCTTTAACAAACGAAACTGTGTGAACTGTATCGATTTCCAATAAAGGCTTAAACTTCTGTTGGGGTAGTTTTTGCGAAAAGCTTTGCACTCGGATCGACCATATGGAGAAAGTAATCACTGCAGATGAATTTCGTGTATTGTGAAATTATCCTTAAGTGAAGTATGAAGAAAGAAATCTTCCAGTCTAAATTGAATAAAAAGAAAACTTGATTGCGTTCATCTCAAAGAGTTAATTACATAAAACGATAGAAATTCCACAAAAATATTTGTTTTCGTTTATCTTTGTCTAGAAAATATTTTACGTTTTTTTTATTATTATTATTTTTTCTTTCTTTTCTATAAATATATTCTTACTTAATACTTTATAAAATGCTTTCAACGCTATATGTTCTTGATCTTTAATAGAAACACGTGTTAGTGACTAATCCAATTTATATTTAAATAGCCTTTTTACTGCAAAGTTCAGTTGTTTTGTTCGTCTTTTAAAGGCATCATTTTCAAGTTAACACCTCTATAATAGTGAGAAGGATCGTTAGAGACAGTCTTTTGCTGAAAAGTATTCTCTTTTCAACTAAAATCTCCGCGCTAACAGGGAAGCTTGCTCTCTTCTTTTTTTTTCCTGTAGTGAAGAGACAGACGACAAAGTTCTGAATGCCAGCTGAAATTTTAAAGAGAGAAAAAAACAAGAAAACGTGACATTAAAGTGAAAGACTTTAGAGGAAAGTACTTAGTCTTATTGAGGCTGCTTCTATAGTGGATATGTAACAATGACAACAAAGAACTGCGAAATATACGAAATATATTAAAAAGTACAACGTCGAAGCGTGTTGAAAGAACGTCATCATTGTCTCTTATTCTTTAATATAATTTTTCAGTTAGAAGGAGAAAAATTAACAAAATTATAACAAATATCGAATATAATTAGCATATTAAATATTTGACTACGTTTGGAGCGGAATCATGTTTTTATTAGTCTTGTTTGTTCAGGCTGATGATCGATCGTCAACGTACACTTCTCACAAACTTCTGCCTTGTGTGTGTGTGTGTGTGTGTGTGTGTGTGTGTGTGTGTGTGTGTGT